TAAGTAAGTGTGATCATATGTGAAAAAGTATAAGGCACTCATGTAGCATTCAATTGAATCTATCTCCCCTTGTAAGTATTCTCACACTTCTTAACTGTCTGTACTGGGCTAGCTTGATTATCACTTCAAAAGTTTTTTTTTCTCTTAATTAATTGGCCTCTCAGAGTTGGTAAGACCACTCCCACCTGTTTATGCTCTCTGTATATGTGTATATATATCTCCTCAATATATGTTCCATTCTATATGCATCCGAAGAAGTGGGCTGTAGTCCACGAAAGCTTATGCTCTAATAAATTTGTTAGTCTCTAAGGTGCCACAAGTACTCCTGTTCTTCTTTTTACCAAATGTGTGTGTGTGTGTTGTTTTTTTTTATTAAGAGTTCTGTATCTGAAATTCTATAAGGAAACTTTGCTCCTTATGTCTTCCTGACCTCTGTGTTCACTTTTAATAGTGGTTGCCTGCAGTGGAATTGTCAGTACACCAATTAAAGTTTTCCTAAATTATGAACTATAGCATGATGACCAAAAGATAAATCTAAGGAATTAAACTGGGTCTCTCCTATTATAGGTCTGGCTTGACATGAGTAGTTGGCTATGGGTAATGGCTCATTTCTTGGGAGACAGAATTAGGGAGGCAAATGGGTCAATAAGCTAAAAGACAGCTAAGGTAAGGATTACCCAGGGAACCATTTACAACAGACAAAATAAGCTGAAACATAAAACAGAATAACTTTGGATGTGTGGTATGCCCTATACCCACCTCCTATGCTTGAGTTGGATCAACGCAGCGTAACATCATTGTATGCCAAATAAAGGAACCCAAGTAATCAGGCTGGAGTTGAACTGAGTTCTTGGGGAACCAATTGAAAGAGGTCTGAGATCAGCCAAATAAAACTCAATTTTGATCTTATTCTTTAAAGTGATTTAGTAAATAGCAGATCTTTTGATTCCAGGGCCTTTGAGACTGCAATGATAAAATACTTCAAACATTATATGTAAACATTGTTTATTTTATTCAGTTAATACAGCTGGCTAAATCCTGTTAAAAACAGTTCAGAGGGAGAAGTATATAAACTCTGTTTTAACACTGTTTTTAAACACTGCTCCATTCCAAAGTGTAAAAAGGGCCTGATAAAGGCATCACAATTTCCCCCCACTATTTTTAATCCAAGACATATATCATGGTATTCTTTCCCACTTCTTACATTTACCCATATATATATGCTGATTTATTGTCTTTTGGTTAAGGCACAGTACAGCGACTTAGAAGATCTAAGTACTATCCCTGTTTTTTTCCCCACTGTTTTACTGTGTGACTTTGGACAAGTCTCAGCCTTTTTGTGCCCCATGTAGTGTTTTGTGGAAGTAAATGTAGGCACACACAAGATATGAGGTTAATATAGAGTTCCAACCATTGCTCCATATGCTAACAGTTTGTGCACTAAACTAACTTGCAGCAGTGCTGATATTCTTGGACTAAACTATAGTGGTCTTAATGGGGGACATCATTACATCCTCAGAGAATCAGAAGATAGTTTTTTCTTACCTTACAGGGCCATCATCAGGCTTAATTCATTAATATTGTGATACAGGCGGGCCAGGGAGCAGTGGTAGAGTGCTAGAGGGGAAATATATAAGCCCAAGGCTAATGAAGGCGTGGTTCCCTGGAGACAAGGGAGGGTGGCTACAGGTCAATTGGAGCACCTGCAGTCAATTAAGGCCCTGTCAGGAACCTAATAAAACCCCCTGCTTCAGGCAGTCAGAGAGGAGGAGGAAGGAGAGAGAACTGGAGCTTGGAGGTGTGCTGTGAGACTTGAAAGATCAGGGAACCAAAGTAAGGGAGACTCTGCCCCAGCAGGGGAGGGAGACTCCCTTCCCCAGCATTTAAGGACCGAAGGTACCCCGCCCAAGGGGGAAGAGGGTAAGAACCCACAAGGGTTGAGAGGGGCTGGGGCTCAGAGTGAGGAGCAAACCCAGACCCTTCCCCTGCTTCCCTTCTTTACCACCTTCCCGGGCCACTAGTGGGGCCCTCAGCACCTCAAGAGCAAGGGCAAGGGGTGGCATCTTAGCCCCCGCCAAGAAAAGCTCAGGACCCACCATACTAACATCAGCCATCTTGTCACACGTGGTGTCAGGAGTGGGATTACTGCGCTGCGAACATAATCCAGGGTGGGTCCCGACCACCCTGCCTGAAGATGGAGGATGTGGTCAAAGCACTGGTGCAAGCCACTGCTGCCCAGCAGGAGGCTACCTGGGTCCAGGCAGTTGCCCAACAGGAGGCCATGCGGCTGCAGCAAGAGGCCAATCACCTGTTGATGACCCAGACCACCCAAGATTGGGCCATGCTGCAGGAACTAGTGAACCAGGTGAAGGCCCTTATAGAGCTGAGCCGCGGCTATGATGGGACACGGACCATACGGGCCAGCTACTGTCTGCAGAAAATGACCCAGGAGGATGATGTGGAGGCGTACCTCCTGGCCTTTGAGAGGACAGCCCTGCGGGAGGCCTGGCCTTGAGACCAATGGTTGGGCATCGTTGCCCCATTTTTTTGCGGGGAGGCCCAGAAGGTCTACTATGATAT